TTGTTTTTGCAATCAGGCTCTCAAAAATTATGTTTAAAAAAATGGATTTAGATTTATTGGCCGATATATCGGTTATCGGCTTTCAAAAAAAGAATTATCGGTATCGGCCAAAATGTTCACATCGGTGCATCCCTAGACAATAGAGTGCGTTAAAGCATCCGGCTCATTAATATTTGAGCTCCCACATTTGCATATTCACACATATTCAGTTTTCAGAAAGTCTGGCCTGTATGATGAACGATTGTATGAACTCTGACCTCATTTCATATTCACAAAGACACTGAACGGTCATGACAACCTGCAAAAAATAAAAGTTTAAATTAACAGAAGATTATTACTACTGTACAGCAAAACGTAATTCTTAAAATAATAATATTTTTTAAGAATATCATATTTTTATATTAACATTAAACCTCAGTTAAGCAGAATTTTTAGTTTGCCCAAAAATATTTGAGGAATTAAAACAAATTCAGAACATTTAGAACAAAAGATATAAAACATTTCATATGGCCCTATTATGTTTTTATTTTCAATTATTAAACTGTAAGAGTTTCAACTTGAAAAAGTTTAATTTGATTGCTTTTTGATTATTAAAATTTTATGAAACCATTAAAACGAACAAGTTTGAACAGGAGAGTCACGAACGCGCGTCACAGAACAGAGCAAGGCGAGCATTTGAGCTTATAAAACTTAAAATTTGTTATTATTGATTAAATGAGGTCTCGTTTCGCTTGATAAGACCCTTATTCATCGTCTGGAGTCGTTTAAAGCTGCACTGAAACTGTCTTTTGGACCTTGAACCGTTTGGTCCCCATTGAAGTCCATTATATGGAGAAAATCCTGGAATGTTTTCATCAAAAACCTTCATTTCTTTTCCACTGAAGAAAGAAAGACATGGACATCTCGGATGACATGGGGGTGAGGAAATTATCAGCAAAAGTTTTTTAAAAGTGAACTACTCCTTTAAGGAAAAAACATTTAAATATGTCATTTTGGTGATGAAAGATGAGTGTGAGGGATTAAATGATGGACTACAGGGGGACGGCAGTCATATAGTTCACAGAGGTGTAGCGTGTCCCACCACTGAAGACCATTTTTGATCAAGAAAAGCCGTTTCTGAATCGGTTTCTCAGTCTAAACGTGTGTATCGACACTGCCGCTCATCAGAGGTTATACGAGGTGATCCAGCACACACACTCTGAGCTGACGGAGCACAAACACTGACAGCTCATCATTAGCTCATGGTGTGTGTGTGTGTGTGTGTGAAGGAGACAGCGGACACAGAACAGCTCCAGTGGCTCTTCCCTGTGTAAATCTCTCCAGAATGGAGGATGATGATGATGATGATGATGCAGTTAATATGAAGGTCCATTTGAGACTGAAGCACATAACAGAGTGACTGCGTTATTCAATTACAGCTCTCAGGGAGATTTCATACTAATTCATCCCTCGGTGCATCTCATCAGCTCAATCTGCAGAGGATATATACACTTATTTATATATATATTTTAAATGTTGGAAATAAAACTAAGAAAAAGTGCAGAAATGACCAGCGTAGAACACTTCAGATAAACTTTAGTCACAGTTGTGAGAGTATCATCATCATCACTGAGGGTTTTCTAGCCACCGCCGCAGACTTTATGCTGACACACAAACGTTACACAAGCTAGTGACTATAAATGAAAAAGATGCATTATTTTAAAATGACTAATGCATTGATTATTGTTATTTTTATTCATTTCCGCAAGTAAAAAACTAGACTGGCAGCTCCAGTTCCTCATTTCTCTCCATTAGATCCGTCTCAAATCTTGGATGATCGTGCGTAAAGATCTGAGATTACGGCTCGCCAGTGTCTTCATTAGGGATGTGATTTTTGAGACACAAGTGTTCATTGAATCAAAGTAACAGCAAATATTAAAAAGCATTTGGTGAACGGAAAAGACGTTGTTATTTTCCAGCATCCGACATGTTCTGTGTCCTGTATTGATCTGTCCTAAAACACATTTTTGGTAAAAAAAAAAAAAAAAAAGTCGTTAAAATCGATTCGCTATTTTCGTTTACGATACTCGTGTTGGTTGGTCCGATGGATTGTGTAAGTGACAGCGCTAGTCTTCATACTATACTTATTCTATCTACACGACACTAAGTGGCCGAATAACAACCCACAGTAGAGCTGCACGATTACTCGTTAAAAGATCGCGATCTCCAATCAAAGAAACATTATTTTTGTCATGCAATCATTCAAATTATCACAGGAGTACTGGGATAAAATTACCCAGTTAAAGTTCATCAACATAAAGTAAATCACCGTTTCAAAGTAACTTCGATTGTATCAATCAGATTGTTACACCAGTAGGTGGCGATAAGTGACAAAAATGTATGTCATTCATTCAAGAGATTCGTTCAGAAACGCTGATTCATCCAGTAATGAAACAAGTGAAGTCTTTCTGAGAGTCATTGAATCATTCTCCAAATCCACTAATTTGGATTTTTCCAAATAATTCAAATTAGACCCTTTTAAATAGACTACAGCAATCAGCATGCTGTCAGAACCTCTAGTAAATGACATGTTATTTTTGTTTAGTTGTCTGTTCAGAATCATTGGAGAATCTCGATTTGAAAACAAAAAAATGTGCTTAATTTATCCAGATTTAACACCTAGCCTAGATAACAAAGCGAAAATGAAGCTGTGCACAATTATTATATTCATCAACAGAAGGAGAATGCTAAACATGCATCAATGATGGCCTCAAATAATCATGTTAAAAATCGAATCTAAATCAAATTTTCATTAAATATACAATACAAATTAAATCGGTAAAATATCGCAGTCTGTTTTTTCCCCCCAATAGCGTGCAGCCTCAGTTTAGATCATCAAACATTGGTTTATTTCAAACGCTGGCTGATGTTGGCCGTATCTCTCGGGAAACACCGATCCTGCATCACTGATACATTATTCATACCACACCTCTAAGCTCCACCCACATCTCCATGGAAACACAGAGATGCAGATGAGGCTATGAGAAACCACACACAGCTGTACACGAGAAAGACGAACTTTGACATCTATTAGGACACGTACATTTATTCATTTGGCAGAGGCATTTATCCGAAGCCATGCTGCCTATATAGGGCACACTAGACGGCAAGACGAGTGACCCACAGTTTACATAAGCAGATCAATGGCTCCAATTACACACACGCTAACAGCCATCGATTCAGTCTCTCTCTGTGTGTGTCCGTCAGGAAGAGTGGAGTGATCCTGTGACTCAGCGATCCTCACACACACACACACACACACACACACACAACGTCTTATTTAAACCGTCACTAGTAGAAGTCTCTCAGAAGACACCCATATCAAATCACTGAACCACTGATCCATTGCTTCTTGTACACACACACACACACACACACACACACACACACAAAGAAACACCTAGAACAGTGTCTGCTATTAAATAAACTCTTCTCCTTTCACTTCCTCATGCATTTTATGAGTACAACACCATTTATAAAACACATCAGTGTGTGTAGATGATAAAATTACCCATGAGTCAGGTCGTCAGTAGACTTTCACCGACGCAATAAACCAACAAAACTAGATGATCTTGGTTAGCTGACCTGATAGGTGGAATTAGAGCAAACACATTAAAATAATGACTTCATAAACCATGCAAAAGGACTCGTGGATCGCCTCAATATTGACTGATGTTTATCGGGCCAAAAACGGTCCATACTTAAGTAAACCCAGTTCACCCAGTATGTTTTCTCAGTCCCAAGGCCTTCTATAGCCGTGAGCCCATTACACATTGGCGACATTTTCAAAATGTCGATAAAAAAAACGATTCTTTGCGTCATTTCCATTGTTGTGTCGCATTTCGATGTTACGCGACTAAAATATAATTTTTCGTCTCGCGATACGTCATTCCAAACATCATGGATGAAAAATTCTCATCTTTAATGAGTATTATGAGTGTTTGGGATTTTTCTTTTACGAAGTACTACGGCTGCCTCGATGGAAATGTATAACTGTTCCAAAAAAATGAATTGTCTGTAAATATAGCGACCGTACTTTATTTGAATACGGCTGGACTAAACATTCTGTTTGTTCAACTGGATATCTGTAAAATGCATTGCAGAACGTTGACTGAGATCAGTGACTAATAAAGCAAAACACACACGACGGAGAAATGAAACAAGCAAACAATGCAAACACAAATCAAAGGCAATTACAGTAGGCCTCGCCAAATGTTCTGGCGACACTTTTTTGGCACAAACTGAACGCCGTACCAATATGATCCGTCAGATGCGTCTCCAGTAATCCGCTGATGTGTGTCACATCTAAATCCCCATCAGGATGGATCATATATATGATTCGGCTCAAACTTCACTGACCGGATGAATTATGACAGATAACCTGAACGGCCAGAAAGCAGAATGGACAGAGCCTTCGCTGTGAAACGTATTGTATTCAAAACTTAATTCAAATCCAAGTATTTTTAAGCAAAGCCTGTAAATAAAATTTAGGAAATATTGGATAATTAATTGTCCTGGACAAAATCAATCTATGAGTGATGATGTCACACTGACAAGCCACACACACACACAGTCAAGGACAACTTTACCAAGAAACACACAACACACAGGTCACACGCAGAATCAAAACATTAAAAAGTTTCACGCTTGAAATGATCTGAGATCAGCAACTCAACAGTAGAACCGCCTAAATCAATCAAATCTGATCTGATTTAATGTAAAATCAACTTTGATTGTAACACACCTACACAAGTTTGGAGGTGTGTGTGTCAATGTAGAAATACAGAGACATTTACAGACATTTGACAGACACACACACACACTTCACTCACTTCTAGACAGTCACTGACCCGCGTGCGGAAACCGCCCTCAGCGCGCGCGCACTAGCGCGTCACTCCATTTACTTATCAACATAATGATGGAAATCAGTTATCATCATGGCTTATAAAGTTTATTCTCACCGCTTTCGTTGATTTCTGAGAGTTTTCCGCGCGTGTGTTGGTGTCGCGGCCTCAAGCTGATCCGCCCTGCGCTCTTCACTGACCGCACACACAGGACACCGCCCTCTGACGCTCTCAGCCAATCACATGCCAGGATCAGCAGACGGACAGCGGTTTCCTCCAATCACAGCGCGGATAGAGCGTTTCTGCGTCTGTCCAACTGGCGCACCTTTGATAGACGCGCGTCGCGTGCAATCAGTGAGTTTGACTCCTTATACGGGCCAATGATAATTATTACATACAAATATTTCACTCTTTTGTGGTGAGTATAAATCTCCACGGTTAAATATATATATATATATATATATATATATATATATATATATATATATATATATATATATATATATATATATGAAATCAAATATTTAGAAAAAAATATTTCAGTAATTTACGTCACAGACATTTTTTGATGGAAAATTCTCATATAACGTCATACGTGCTAAATTATAGAGATTACGATTATTTAGATGTGTAATATATTGTAATAATTAAAATTGCGAGATAATTTCTCAAAACTAAATGTGAAAAAGTGAATTTAAAAACAATGAAGCCAAGCATATTTCTATTGGTAAGTTACTCTCAGACTCTGTAATCATATTTTACAACAGAAGAGCCGCTGTGTGTAGAACTCATCTGAAATCACGCTGGAGATGTTCAACTCTTCTAATGGTTGAATGTCGCCATCTGGTGCTCAGATTAAACACACGACTCGTTTGCTATTAGTTAGACTTGATTGACAGTAAATTAGAGCATTAATACTGCTAGACAATTATTAGGCAGTATTTATTGGTAAGGGCAGAAATTACACATAAATCCATCACAGACTAATTTAAATGTGTCATAGTCACTTTATGTATTATGACTCAGAAGAGTAGGACATCATCGCAAAGACTTTGTTATAAGTTTGGAAAAATTACTTTTTATTGTTTTAGAAAGAAGTCTCTTATGCTCACCAAGGCTACATTTATTTGAACAAAAATACAGAAAAAACAGTAATATTGTGAAATATTATTAGTATTTAAAACAGCTGTTTTCTGTCTGAATATATAGTAAAGTGTAATTTATTCCACTGATCAAAGCTGAATTTTCAGCATCATTACTCCAGTCTTCAGTGTCAAATGATCCTTCACAAATCACTCTAATATGATGAATTATTATCAATGTTGTTTTTTTCTGATACTTTTGTTTTACAGGATTCAATAATGAATACATATTTTTTTATTAATTTAACACATCCTTACTTAAGTATTAATTTCTTTAAAAAAAAAAAGTAGAAAAAGAAGGAAACAAAAAAATATACTGACCCAAAAAATTTGAACAGTAGTGTATAATGATATTATACTTCCTTTTTATTTAATTTTGTTACTTTCCAATTATTCAAAGAATCCTGAAAAAAAGATCACAGGTTATAAAAAAAAAAAAAATTCCACAAAAATATTAAATGATTTCTGAAGGATCATGTGACACTAAAGACTGGAGTAATGATCCTGAAAATGCAGCTTTGATCACAGGAATAAATTACATTCTACTGTATATTCACACACACACACACACACACACACACACACACACACACACACACATACATATATATTTATATATAATAAAGAATGGTAGTCATTTCAGATGTTTTCAAAGAAGTTTATTGAAATAAATATTTCTAAATTTTATAAAGTCAACCGTTTATAATGCTAGCTAGCACAAAATCCGTACTTTCTGAAGTGTGATGATGTCACATCAGTTCAGTCACATGTCCACACTCATGATCGTCCATGAAGACTCAGGGCAGCATGCGGATTACATGAAATCTGCCTTTATTACCTTTATATTTATATATCATTGAAATACTTACATAATTATTAACAGAGTTATTCTTTAAAAATGAAAGGTCAAACGTATGTATTTTCCTCTAGTTTTTCTTTTTTATTATTATTTTCTGCATTTCAAAGCATGCCAAGGAAATGCGTTTCTGCATAGAGTCGGCTATAGGGATGCGGGAGTAAAGACTTCCGTATGTACAGCAAAATCAGGCAGGAGACAAAGAGCAATCCAGTGTAAACCAATTAGCAAAATAAATTAAAACTCAAAAAGATAAAAAAAGAAATATGTACATACACAGGATGTCCTTCATGATTGCAAACTAAAGCCTGTTTATAATCACACTAGTTCATGGATGTGTGTGTGTGTGTGTTTGGCCTGTTCTGCTTGTTGAATTGCTTGAAATATGAATTTAGGATATAATAACTGAGAGCATAATAACTGATATATCGGTCGATAAATCTAAACCTATATAAAAATGTGGATTTAGATTTATCGGCCGATATAACGGTTATCAGCTTTCAAATATAAATAATTAGAATTATTTATAATAACTGAGAGCATGATAGCCGATATATCGACTGATAAAATGTGGATTTTTATCGGCCGATATATCAGTTATCGGCTTTCAAATATAAAGATTTAGAATAATATATAATAACTGGAGTGTATACACAGGAAATCTCGCTAAATATCTCGTGGTTAAACGTGACTTAAAATTAAACAAACAATGCCGAGCGGCAGATTCAATGACTCTTAACACACACTTCACACACACAGGGAAATCTGATCAGATCAATTATGAGCAAGATAATCGGGACCTTTCCTTTAGGACTGTTGGAAGATGTTTTTGGAGCGAATTATGTGCCATAATTAAACAAACAAATGAGACGTACACTTGTTCAAAGATTACATGCAATTTGTCGGATGGTTTGTATTTATTTGTGAAATAGCCTATTATCTAGACTCATTTCTTTATATTTGTAAAACACAATATTGGTTATTTCACTGCATTTTTGCTCAAATTGACTTCTTTTTTGCAAATTGCTTTCTGTTTGTTTTTTGAGTCAAGTTTTCCTTTGCAAAGCAGATGGAGTGTGTTTGCAAAATGCTGTACTTGTTTGTTTAATTATGGCAGATAATTCGCTCCATAAGATTTGGAGAATCGGGCTCAAATGGACCCGTTATCTCGTAGTGTTCGAGTCCCTTTAAAGAGCACAGGTCACCGAACATCAAGAGAAACACACACACACACACACACAAACCCATCTCAGCAGGAGGATTATCATCAGATAAACGTACATGAACATAACAGAGCTCGAAACACAATCATGTTGTTATATGAGCTGCATTAATGACTGAACATCAGGACATGAACTCAAATTCTCCTGGATTACAAACAAACCACCAAATCAACTAAAAATAAATCAATAATGTGTGTCTCTCAACACAACCGTACAAACAGAAACACTGCCGCCACGTGAGGGAGAATCTCAACACATTACAAAATAAAAGCAGCTTTATTTTACATTTAAGAAACATTTTTTTTTGCACTGAAAGTTAAAAATAGTGTTTGTTGCAGCATTACCTTTTATTTATGATCAATTAATATATATATATATATATATATATATATATATATATATATATATTACGGTTATGATTATCCAATATCTCATGGATATTCATATGGTCCTAAAAATAAGCGTTGTTGTCTTTATGCTAATATAATATTTTTTCTCTCGTTTTTTTGTGATATTGGGGTCAGATTTGATCTGGATGTGTGAGATTCACCCATATGTGGCGCTGAAAAGACTCGTATACACAGAATCTACAGAGACACTAATATTAATAATAAAATCAACAACAAATACGTACTAGATAAATATGTGCAAACTCTTGCATTCATCAAAGTAAAAGGGAATCTTGATATTTAATGCAGTAGTGTTGGAATTGTTCTTCAGATGTTTTGCGTTCAGTTCAAATGAAATATCATATTTGGTATGGACAAAAACATAAAGAGCTGAAAGGCAGAATGATACAATCGTTGTCATGATTAAACAGGTTCTCATGCTAATATGCTCTTCTTTCCTCACAAACGCTTGGATTAAATGCTATAATAATTTAAATATGATAACAGTAAAGTCTGCCATAAAAAAGTGCCTTATATTAAAAGTGTATGTTTATTATCGCATGCTTAATAGCTTATCGTAAAGTTTCTTTGTGTTATTGGTCCACACGTCTGTTTTTAATGAATTCATCAGGTTCAAGAGCTCAACCGAATAATAATGAATAATCATGTGACTGTGGCTGCAGGGCCGTAAACACCACAGATGATGGAAAATCACTGAAAAAGATCAACTTTTACACCCAATCTTCAGTATTTGGTTTCATTTGTGGTTTAAAGGATTCTGTATTGCTAAAGCTAATGTGTTCCAACTTTAAAAATCACTAACTAACGCGCGTTGCATACGGTTGGTCTCGGCGTCACACACGTGACTCTTCACAGCTTCAAAAAGCTGTCAATCACCCCACCCACTGCAATCCAGCCAATCCAGTGTGAGTGGGCGGGGCTTGAGGCTCCGCCTTCTTCGTCGTTCTTGCACAGTAAATGAAGGCAAAGACAGACAGACAGACAGAACACATCCGATTATTATTAGTAGTCGTATCTCCTTCTGTTAGGCCAGCTAACACTAACAAGTTCAACCAGTTCTTCGTTTTGGAAGCGCCGTAGACGTGAAGATATAGATCGAGAGAGTCTGGAAAATTCAGTGCAAGACATAATGGCTACTTTGAGTTTAGTAATAATCATTATTGTTTGTTTATGGATCTCCAATAGTGGAGGACAGCAGTGGAGACGAGTGAAGTTCATCGCTGTCGTTCGTGATCACCAGCTCCAGTGTGTCTCTGAAACTCCTCAGAAGCAGAACGGAGAGAGCGAGTCTCTAGCTCCCCGGGTCTGAGCTGTGTTTCTGTGGTGTGTGTGGTGTGTGTGTCGTCTGCGGCTCCTGCAGAGAGAAGCGCCTCTGCTCCGCTCGGGTCCCGAGGTTCGAGGATCCAGAGAGAAGAGCGTCTGCCGGATGGAGAGACTCGCACGACTGAGAGAGGAGACAAGCGTTCATCAATACTGTGTGCAAGATACGAGTGTTTGCTCAAAGATCAGTTTCATATATTAGATATGTATATAGTATATTGATATTTGTACATTATATCTAGCCATCATCTATCTATCGAAACCCGTCAGCGTGTGTGTGTGTGTCACACCTGTGAGAGAGAGGCGAGTGTGTGTGACTCCAGCGGAGTGACGGGCTGCACGAGTCTGTCGGGGAACAGTGATGGAGAAACGGTGCTGTACGCCGGAGGGACCAGCATCATCTGCCTCTGCAGGAGCTGCATGATCGCACTGATGTCCGTCGACATGCGGCTCTCCAGTCTGCACACACACACACACACACACACACACACACACTTAAACAATGTCATATTTTTCAGCAGCATCAAGTGTCTTTGTGGTGTTAGGAAGTGTGGTTTCAGTGAATCAGTTCAGTAGCCCACGGTTTAGTCCGATTGCAGTGAGTTGTGACCATAGGCGGTAAAAGCATATGTTCGACTGTTCGTAGTGTGTGTGACGTCACTCGTAGTGTTTCTGAAGACTATTTTTGAAGCCCAAAGTGGGCGGAGCCGGCTGTCGCCATTTTGGAAGCGCATCACTCAGTTGTCAGGCATGAGTCGTGAGTTGTGAGTCGTGAGTCGTGAGTTGTGAGTCGTGAGTTGTGAGTCGTGAGTTGTGAGTTGTGAGGCGTGAGTTGTGAGTCGTGAGTTGTGAGTCGTGAGTCGTAAGTCGTGAGTCGTGAGTCGTGAGTCGTGAGTCGTGAGTCGTAAGTCGTGAGTTGTGAGGCGTGAGTTGTGAGTTGTGAGTCGTGAGTTGTGAGTCGTGAGTCGTAAGTCGTGAGTCGTGAGTTGTGAGTCGTGAGTTGTGAGTCGTGAGTCGTGAGTTGTGAGGCGTGAGTTGTGAGTCGTGAGTTGTAAGGCGTGAGTTGTGAGTCGTGAGTTGTAAGGCGTGAGTTGTGAGTCGTGAGTTGTGAGTCGTGAGTTGTGAGTCGTGAGTTGTGAGGCGTGAGTTGTGAGGTTTAGTTGAGTCGTGAGTTGTGAGTCGTGAGGTTTAGTTGAGTCGTGAGTTGTGAGTCGTGAGGTTTAGTTGAGTCGTGAGTTGTGAGTCGTGAGGTTTAGTTGAGTCGTGAGTTGTGAGTCGTGAGGTTTAGTTGAGTCGTGAGTTGTGAGTCGTGAGGTTTAGTTGAGTCGTGAGTTGTGAGTCGTGAGTTGTGAGTCGTGAGGTTCAGTTGAGTCGTGAGGTTTAGTTGAGTCGTGAGTTGTGAGTCGTGAGGTTTAGTTGAGTCGTGAGTTGTGAGTCGTGAGTTGTGAGTCGTGAGGTTCAGTTGAGTCGTGAGGTTTAGTTGAGTCGTGAGTTGCGAGTCGTGAGGTTCAGTTGAGTCGTGAGGTTTAGTTGAGTCGTGAGTTGTGAGTCGTGAGGTTTAGTTGAGTTGTGAGTTGTGAGTCGTGAGTTGCGAGTCGTGAGGTTCAGTTGAGTCGTGAGGTTTAGTTGAGTCGTGAGTTGTGAGTCGTGAGGTTTAGTTGAGTCGTGAGTTGTGAGTCGTGAGGTTTAGTTGAGTCGTGAGTTGTGAGTCGTGAGGTTTAGTTGAGTCGTGAGTTGTGAGTCGTGAGGTTTAGTTGAGTCGTGAGTTGTGAGGTTTAGTTGAGTCGTGAGTTGTGAGTCGTGAGGTTCAGTTGAGTCGTGAGGTTTAGTTGAGTCGTGAGTTGCGAGTCGTGAGGTTCAGTTGAGTCGTGAGGTTTAGTTGAGTCGTGAGTTGTGAGTCGTGAGGTTTAGTTGAGTCGTGAGTTGTGAGTCGTGAGGTTTAGTTGAGTCGTGAGTTGTGAGTCGTGAGGTTTAGTTGAGTCGTGAGTTGTGAGTCGTGAGGTTTAGTTGAGTCGTGAGTTGTGAGGTTTAGTTGAGTCGTGAGTTGTGAGTCGTGAGTTGTGAGTCGTGAGGTTCAGTTGAGTCGTGAGGTTTAGTTGAGTCGTGAGTTGTGAGTCGTGAGGTTTAGTTGAGTCGTGAGTTGTGAGTCGTGAGTTGTGAGTCGTGAGGTTCAGTTGAGTCGTGAGGTTTAGTTGAGTCGTGAGTTGTGAGTCGTGAGGTTTAGTTGAGTCGTGAGTTGTGAGTCGTGAGTTGTGAGTCGTGAGGTTCAGTTGAGTCGTGAGGTTTAGTTGAGTCGTGAGTTGCGAGTCGTGAGGTTCAGTTGAGTCGTGAGGTTTAGTTGAGTCGTGAGTTGTGAGTCGTGAGGTTTAGTTGAGTTGTGAGTTGTGAGTCGTGAGTTGTGAGTCGTGAGGTTTAGTTGAGTCGTGAGTTGTGAGTCGTGAGTTGATTTGTGCGCTGAGACCTGTTGAGCTGTTTCTGCAGTAGCTCGAGTCGGCCCTCCATGAGGCTGCGCTGCTGCCGGCTGACGCTGAGGCTGCTGGGATGCGGACGGTTACAGCGGGGCAACTCCTGATATTGCCTCCCACGACTATCACCCCAGAAACTGAAGATGTTAGACACACCTGAGAAAGCACCTGACACACACACACACACACACACACACATTACTGCTAGCACTGTTTATCTATGTCTGTCTATCTATCAATCTTTCAATCTACGTATGTATTTATATATATATATATATCGTTCCCTCTATCTAGAAAACACAAATCATCACACCATTATATTTTAATATTGTTATCATGTTCATTTTAATATTAGAATATTAAAAATAAGATTTTATATAATATTACATTGTAATATTATGTAAATAATACATAATTTGTCATCCTGTCACCTGATAGGGCGTTACATGTGTTTCCTGCTTTCGGATCGGCCTCTCCCTCAGTGACAACCATGAGTGACGCGAGAGGGGCGGGGCTTGTGTGCTCAGGCTCCTCCCCCTCGTCCCCACTGGAGTGAGAGGACACAGAATCCCGAGGCTCCTTCCATCCCGGGTCCAGTTCACTCTTGTTATTGGCTGCTTGTTTTCGGCCTCTCCGAACAGGTTTCTGACTCTTCTTGATCTCTCCAACATCTGCATCATCTGGAGAAATAAACATGCGATGAATATTCATCAGCAGAGTATGAGAAACAGGTCTAATGCTTTGTGTATACACACACAGTCAAACCAAAATGTATTCAGACACCTTGCTATCCTCACTAATATTAATGAACTATAGTGTCCTGCAGCTTGGAGTAAAAAAAATTCAAAATTTTTAAGTATATGGTGTCTGAATAATTTTTGGTTTGACTGTATATCTTGATGGTAGCATTATGTTAAGATAACAAGCACTAATTAAAAAATAATAAAATAAAATACATAAATATTGGATTGAATATTTGGGTCTTTTTAAATTACACTAAGTTTTTTTGTAAAACGTATGAATGATAAAACCTGAATTAACCTGAAATGGGAACAGGAATTATGGGAAATACCTTTTTCCGTTCGTCGTCGGAATGAAAGTTTCCGTCTCCGCAGTTTGTTGAAGCCGACGCAATCCGAATCATCGCTGCTGGGAGAGCCGGGAATCATGTTCGTCTATAAACACACAGACACACATTGGCTACGTTTACTACGTCATTACGCTAGTTCTACGTCATTACGCTATTTTTATGTCATCACGCTATTTCTACGTCATTACGCTATTTCTATGTCATTATGCTACTTCTACGTCACTACTCGCTATTTCTACAAAATTACTCTATATTTCTACGTCATTATGCTACTTCTATGTCATTACGCTATTTTTATGTCATCACGCTATTTCTACGTCATTACGCTATTTCTATGTCATTATGCTACTTCTACGTCACTACTCGCTATTTCTACAAAATTACTCTATATTTATACGTCATTATGCTACTTCTATGTCATTACGCTATTTTTATGTCATCACGCTATTTCTACGTCATTACGCTATTTCTATGTCATTATGCTACTTCTACGTCACTACTCGCTATTTCTACAAAATTACTCTATATTTCTACGTCATTATGCTACTTCTATGTCATTACGCTATTTTTATGTCATCACGCTATTTCTACGTCATCACGCTATTTCTATGTCATTATGCTACTTCTACGTCACTACTCGCTATTTCTACAAAATTACTCTATATTTATACGTCATTATGCTACTTCTACGTCATTACGCTCAACATATTCCCTATCAGATCGATTAATGTGTTTTACACGAAGGCTTCTCAGTCGGACTGAACCGTCAATCCGATAGCTAACGGATTATTTGGCTGCATGGAAACGTAGCCATTGATAAACAGACGCTCTGTGGGTTTGCTGGCTTCTCGGAGTGACTCACGTCTCTGAGGTCGAAGGTGATCTCCAGGTTACTCCAGAAGTGGTCGGAGAACTCCGGGTACATGTCCAGCACCTCCAGCACATCTTCCCGGTGGATCTTATGGAGGTCGCAGTACGTCAGCGCTCTCACGTCTGCGTTAGATTTCCCAGGACGCGCGTACAGGTTTATGGGCTCGCCGAATATATCATTCTTCCCTGTGATGTTCATAAGATCATCGTCAGAAACATCCAGAATGACATTTACATATAATCATTTAGCAGAGAAGATACTATCTATCTATCTATCTATCTATCTATCTATCTATCTATCTATCTATCTATCTATCTATCTATCTATCTATCTATCTATCGTTCTATCGTTCTATCTATCTATCTATCTATCTATCTATCTATCTATCTATCTATCTATCCTTTATTGTTGTTGTTTTCCCATGTTTTGGTCTAATTCTCACCCAAACCACTTTAGAAGACAGTATTGCGCATGAGTGACATGAACTGTTTGACGGTGTGTGTGTTTTTAATCCTCTTTAGAGATTGACAGTCACTATTAGCTTTCAAAGAACAGCCGTGACATTCTGCTAAACATCTGCTCCTGTTTTCCACAGAAGAAAAGGTGACACGGGAAAGTCATGAGGGTGAGTAAACGACTTTTGGATCAATTATTCCTGTAACTGTGTAAATTGAGTGTTACAGATGATGTCCTGTAGGTGGCAGTAGAGGACAGACTGAACCTATCGCTGAAACGGTGTCGCATTTAAACAGGATATACATCTAGCATGGCTTACATGGAAAACATACTCTAGTTCCTCAAATATTTTCAAGGCTGGCACATTGGAACCTGTTTCAAAGTTTGCGTTTTGAGCTCCAAACACTGTTGATGTGAGGATGAGCGTATTAAAGGGATAGTTCACTTTGAAATTAATTTTTGGTATGTTTTATCTTACCTCAAGGGCATCCAAGATTTAAGTGTCTTTGTTTCCACTGTATTTCAATTTAGATATTTTTAGGTCAAACCATTCTTGTCTGTCAGTCATATAATGGAGGTCTATGGTCACCACCTCAAAGAGCAGCACAGAGAAGTCCAGATTAAACATGATTTAATGACTCGTAAATGTAAGTACACATTGATGGCCTAAGACACGAAACGAGCGGTTTGTGTGAGAAAACCAACAGTATTTATATCGTTTTTAACCTTGTGTAATCACAGCCAGGTCCAAGTGATCTGACGGCGCGGGCGCTTCGGTCTGAGCAAGCGGCGGAAGTGATCTCTTGCGCGGTTGCGAAAAAAACCCAATGTTGTCTGTTGATGATATATCGAAATAGTCTTCCATTGCGATTTCCTGTATATCTAAATATGTTTAGATCTTCACATGGAAGGATAACACTTCTGAAATCTGTGTAAACCATGAGTGACGTTCATGCGGGAGAGATCACTTCCGGCGCATACTCAGACCGAAGCGCCTGTGCCGTCAGATCACTTGGACGTGGCTGTGGTTACAAGAGGTAAAAACGATATAAATACGGTTGGTTTTCTCACACAAACCGCTCGTTTCGTGTCTTAGGCCATCAATGTGTACTTACATTTACGAGTCATTAAATCATGTTTAATTTGGACTTCTCTGTGCTGCTCTTTGAGGTGGTGACCATAGACCTCCATTATATGACTGATAGACAACAACGGTTTGACCTAAAAATATCAAAATTGAAAATACTGTGGAAACAAAGACACCAACATCTTGGATGCCCTTGAAGTAAGAAAAAACATCCTAAATATTATTTTCAAAGTGAACTATCCCTTTAAGGGTTTCCTGTTAGAGCGGTGGCGTGCGTCATCATAACTCATGATCTTTGCAATCAATCAAAACAGTAACTTTATTCTAGATCTGCTGTAAAGTCTAAACACTCTCTGTTACTGTAATCTCCTGTTATCACTGTAAAGCTGCTGTGAAACAATCTATACTGTTATAAGCGCTTATAAATGAAAGTGACTTGACTTATTGTCAAGACTTGACTCAGCATATGGTCCATTTTGAGATCATGTTGGCGTTTGTGGGAATATACGCAGATTGTCTGTTGAAGTTATTTGACTGTGTAATGCAGTATTTTCACCTAAGATGGCCACGACCACATCTCCACGTAAGATCTCGATGGAGCCGCGAGAGATGAAGTACAGCGCGGTCAGGACGTCGCCGGCGTGCACCAGTGTGTCTCCCGGAGGAGCGTGTGTGGTCTTGAACTTCATGGCCAGCGCCCGCAGACAGCCTTTACTGGAGCCCTTGAACGCTTTACAGTTCTGCAGGAGCGTCCGGTTCAGGTGGAGGCAGATGTCGGCCTGGAGACACTCCGGGAAACCCTTCAGCACCTGAACACACACATCAAACCACTGTCACCAGCTGGAAAACATTCAGAAGAAGATCTCTTGAAGAATGCCAGTACAAATCTACTGTCAAACAACTGGTGTGTGTGTGTGTGAGAATATGAGACATCAACACTGAAATCACAATGAAATATTATTAGTATTTAAATCATCTGTTTTCTATGTGAATATTCAGTAAGGTGTAATTTATTCCTGTGATGTTCAGCATGATCACATGATCCTCCAGAAATCACTCTAATATGAGGATCTGATGATCAACAAACATTTATAATTATTATCAATGTTGAAAACAGTTCATATTTCTGTGGAAATGGAAACTACAAATAAAAATATTACAGACCCCAAGCTTGACCTTGATTGTCATTTTCAAAGCTTAATGGGATCTCCAGTCTCATATACACACATTCTTAATTATTGTTGACTTTTAACTTTTTTGGCTTCAAATCAATGTTTTTAATGTTGTGATTCATCTCAGAACTGAATGATTTAGTTTTAGTAGCTTGTAAAGAAACAAAATCAATTAAAACCCAGCAGTACAGCAATCACAACCGCTCTGACTGTCCAATCAGAACGCTCCACTGCTCTTAATGAGAAGAGCTCATAGGCCGAGGTGGACGCTCGTTTGTTTTCTCTCCTTGAGTGCGTAATCTCGTTAAACTCGGGGTTTTTCGGCTGGTAATAGTAGAGGATGTGCTGGCGAGGACAGCTGCTAAATTAACTCATTATGGATAATATACTATATTCATGCAATCCAGCTCACAACTCACACTTTAATATGCCCTTTCTCAAAGTATTGATGTTGTGTTTGGGCTCTACTAGAACAGGCTTTTATGGAAGAGCCTAAATAATAAAAAAGGTAATTGTGATTTTTTATCTCACAATTCTGACTTATCTCAGAATTGCATCATATGGAGTCGCAATTACGAGTTATTAAGTCAGAATTGCGAGATAAAAAAATCAGAATTGTGAGATATAAAGTCAGAATTGTGAGAAATTAATTCAGAATTGTGAGAAATAAATTCAGAATTGCGAGATATAAAGTCAGAATTGTGAGATATAAATTCAGAATTGTGAGATATAAAGTCAGAATTGTGAGAAATAAATTCAGAATTGTGAGAAATAAATTCAGAATTGTGAGATATAAAGTCAGAATTGTGAGATAAAGTCAGAATTGCGAGATATAAATTGAGAATTGTGAGATATAAAGTCAGAATTGTGAGATATAAAGTCAGAATTGTGAGATATAAAGTCAGAATTGTGAGAAATAAATTCAGAATTGTGAGATATAAAGTCAGAATTGTGAGAAATAAATTCAGAATTGTGAGAAATAAATTCAGAATTGTGAGATATAAAGTCAGAATTATGAGATATAAAGTCAGAATTGTGAGAAATAAATTCAGAATTGTGAGATATAAAGTCAGAATTGCGAGATATAAAATCAGAAATGTGAGAAATAAATTCAGAATTGCGCGATATAAAGTCAGAATTGTGAGAAATTAATTCAGAATTGTGAGAAATAAATTCAGAATTGTGAGATATAAAGTCAGAATTGTGAGATATAAAGTCAGAATTGTGAGATATAAAGTCAGAATTGTGAGATATAAAGTCAGAATTGTGAGATATAAAGTCAGAATTGTGAGATATAAAGTCAGAATTGTGAGATATAAAGTCAGAATTGAAGTTTATATCTCACAATTCTGACTTTATAATATGCAATTCTGACTTGTTGCAATTATCTTTTAAAATGTTTTTATTCTGTTGTGGAATGAAGTTTCCACAGGTTTCTCTGCTTAAATGTTGATTATTCTCCTCATATTCTCCATTGTTGCGGCTCCTCTCTTCCCAGTCTGTCAGTAACGCTCTGTTCACTTCCTGTCTCTATGAAGCCCCTCCTCCTGAAAGCACACTGTGCTCTGATTGGTCGGCTGGAGCAGTGTGTTGTGATTGGTCGAGCGCTTCTAGTGTGTTTGGGAAATGTCCCGCCCCTTTCCATAACTGCCAGTTTAACCAGGCCCCGCCCCTTTATTCTGCGCATGAATTATTATAATGAGGAATATTGAGACGTGTTCCCGGGAGAAACTCAAGACTACAGTGGAGGCGTTTCAGGAGTTCAGACACACTGACACTGATATAGAGGAGAACGTGTTCGTGCTGGAGCGTCTGCATAGGGCCTGTTGTAGATGTGGTTTGTCAGTGAGAGGTCAGGGAGAGGCAAACTCACGGCGTTCATGTCGATGCCGTTGGTGTAGGACCAGGCGTGTTGGAAGTACTCCTCCAGTCTCTGGCGCAGTGGGTTGGGGATCTGATGGAAGCGGATGAACTCTCGCACCCGCAGCATCTGCGTGTGATACCGAGCCGTCCCCGAGTACAGCCGCTGGATGATGGCCGACACGTTCCCGAAGATACTGGCGTACATGAGCGCTGAACGGGAACAGGAACATGGTTAAAACATGAAGCACCTACACAGGTACACGGCTTTACAGTTTTTCTTGAGGCTATGCGTTTTGGCCTATTCGTGATTCAGTGGCTCTGAATTGTTGAACATTTCTAACGCTAAATTTACTAGCAATTTCTGATGGAAAACACCATTTATTTTTCAGTGTGTACAAATCTGACAGATCTGTGTGTGTTGATGATTCCCTGACCTGGATCCGCACTCCTGTCGGACTGAACTCGCTGCAGGTGGGCAGCGCTGTGATTCACACTACAAACAAAAGCAGCAAAAATAGCAACAAAGAAGCAGCGACTGAAGCTCAGAACACTGTATATCCTCCTCTTCTCTTTGTTGAATTAACTTTCAGGAATTATCGAACGATGGTAATCTCAAAAAGCCTGTCAAAACAGCACATCTGAGTCATACTTCACCACCACGACAAAAGAAAGAAATCAGAAACACATTTTTCTTTGTTGCTGTTTTTGCAGTGTGAATCATAGTGCGCTGGAGACCTGACCTTTACATCCATTTTACTAAGATTATGTGCATTGTGACATTATTTTCCTGATTATTAAGCTATTTTTTTAAAACACTAAACAATGTTTTATTATTATTCGGTGGAGTATGTGTACATCTCAATGGGATTGCTTGAATTGTATTTACTTCGTGCTGATTTTAATAGGTAAAAACATTGTATTACATAATTTGTAATAATGGATGCGCTGAAATGACAATTTTGGCCGATACAATAACCGATAATTCTTTATATTTGAAAGCCGATAACCGATATATTGGCTGCTAAATCTGAATCAAAATTTTTATATAATTTTTGAGAGCCCGAATACAAAAACAAAAAAATCTCACCATTAAAAGCCATTATTCTCATTATAATTTTATGCAGCCTTTATGAAGAACATTTTTGCAATTAACTGTATTTCCCTTTTTTAAGTGATATATATAATTTTTTTAATGTATATTACATTTAATTTTATATATTAAATTATTACATATACATTTTCTTATCAGGCGATAACGATAACATTAAAGATGATTAACATATATCGACCGACATTGAAATGGTGACCGATATATATATACAGTATATGCATCCCTAATGCAAAACAGTTTACAATTGCTACAATGAGAACCACCATTAAATATAGGAGAAGAAAAAAAAAAAACCTTAAAAATAACCAAGAATTAAAATAACATAAAATACGTAAATTGGAATGTGTCATGAAAATAATGTCACAATGTAATATTAAATCAAATAAATAATATGATATAATGATGGGGTTGAATATCACCTGGACCTGATTGCTTGAGATTTATTCTAACACACTAAATAAAAAAAACAAATCCAATAGAAGCTGTAAATACATATAATTGATGAAATGAGTCTGTTAGTGGTGGTTCAGTGAATATTGAGCCTGATCACTACAGTCTGGTGACTTCAGCTTTGAACAAGCTAATTAATTAAATGAAAAATCTCGTCTCGGATCAAAGAAGTCATGTTGATTTTGCCCTTTTGAACTTTTGCCGTCTAACAAAATGTAATTCTGCATCTCGGATGATAAATGCTGGAGCCGGCCATAAAAACGGAAATTACTTCACGGTCACTGTGGTCTGATGTGTGTGTGTGTGTGTGTGTGTGGGATATTAAATTGGCAATTTATCATTAATTGCAGTGATCAAGACCTTCAAAAATGAGCTATCAGGTTGATTTGTTAAGGGAAAATTAAAAAGGGAGGATGTTTCATCAGCATGATGAGGTTTGATCACATAGTGCACACTAAAAAGAGCTCTATTAAAGAGAACAAACAAGCACATCTGTAATGAAGGTTTAATCAGAGCTGATGAAGGTCAAAACTGAGTATAATATGCTTGATTTGTGTTCTCGGGATCTATTACATTAATCAAAACTTTTAAAATGCCAATTTATACACACAACGACTTGAATACACCTCTATTATGGTGACCATGTCCTCAATATCTAAGTTTACGGACACTGATCATAACAAACATCCGGAGATAATAATACTAGGGAGCGATACAGCTACCCGATATTTTTTTTATTTGAAAGCCGCTAACCGATATATATATATATATATATATATATTTATTATTATTCTTTTTTTTTTTTGAAAGCCACTAACTGATACATTGGCCGATAAATCGAAATCCAATTTTTTTTAATAAATTTTGAGAGCCTGATTACGAAAAAATTCTCTCAATTAAAAGCCATTAATCTCATTATAATTGTATGCAGTTGTATGATCGAACATTTTGCACTGAACTGAATTTTTATTTTGAAGTGATTTCAATCATATTTCAATCAATTTAAAACCGTCATGTTGAACAGTGTGCATCTCAGCGGAAGGAAATCATACATCATTTATCAGCTTTAATATATCAGCCTAATTTTCTAATTGGGCCAATAACGATAACATTAAAAATGATCATATATCGGACCGATAACGATATATCCCCCATCCCTATATGTAATGATGTACTGTAAAACGGTATAAAATTAATATAAAACAGTATAAAATTACCGTATTATAGTAATGAGAACCACTATTAAAGATAGCAAAAATTACTAAAAGCAATTAAAATGAATAATGAAAAATAAAATAAAAACTTGGAATCGAGTGAAAAACACTAGCATATGGTGCAAAAGTTCCTTTATTTCAGCAATTCAACTTAAAAGCTTAAACTAATATATTATATCGACTCATTACATGCAAAGTGAGATATTTCAAGCCTTTATTTGTTATAATTTTGACACTAATGAAAAGCTTTCCACAATTTTCTAATTTTGACTCATATCTGTAAGCCATAATCATCACAATTCTAACAAATAAAGGCTTGAAATATCTCACTTTGCATGTAATGAGTCTATATAATATATTAGCTTGATTGTTTAAGTTGAATGACTGAAATAAATGAACTTTTGCAGGATGTTTGGAGTTTGGCCGTTATATCCTGCATGCCTATGGGAAACTCACATCCGATGAGCATGACGCAGATGGAGAAGATCTTCTCGGAGTTGGTGTTGGGCGAGACGTTCCCGAAGCCCACGCTGGTTAGGCTGCTGAAGGTGAAGTACAGCGCGGTCACGTATTTATCCTTGATGCTCGGCCCTGATCCGGGGCTGCTGGCGTTGTGCTGTTTGCCCAGATGAACGCCGAGCGCGTGGAGCCAGCCGATGGAGCCGTTCTGCTCCACGTTCCCGATGGCGTACCAGATGCAGGCCAGCCAATGAGCGATCAGAGCGAAGGTGCACATGAGCAGGAACAGCACGGCCGCCCCGTACTCGGAGTAGCGGTCCAGTTTACGAGCCACTCGCACCAGCCGGAGGAGCCGCGCCGTCTTCAGGAGGCCGATCAGGGTGGTCGTCTGCAGCCGGAGGACACACAAACACACTTTAGCTTTAACAAATTAGGCATCATAATACAGATGTAATGGACCTTTTTGAAAAAAGTCTTTTCTGCTCAGTGATTAAAAATACTGTAAAAAATGTGAAATATTATTGCATTATGGCTGACGAGGAGAAAACATTTCTACAATTTTATCTTTATTATAAATAAATCTTCACCTGATGTCTTGTAATCCTTTCCTTTCATTATTGTTACATTCAATGCATCAGATTCATATACTGTATATAAACACACACACACACACCTTTGACAAATGTGTGCAATTTCATGAATTCAGAAGAGAGGTTGGTGACACTTTATTTTTGCAATATCCTTTAGGGCTGTGAAACGATTAATCGCATCCAAAATAAAAGTTTTTGTTTACATAATATATGTGTGTGTGTAGTGTGTATAATTATTTTGTATATATAAATACACACACACACACATGCATGTATACATTTGCATGTATATACTTTATATATATTTATACAAAATGAACATTATACATAAATATTTAATATATTAATAACATTTTTCTTAAATATATAGATGCATATGTGTGTATTTATTAGGGCTGGGTATTGACACAAATTTCACAATTCGATTCGATTTTGATTCACAAGCTTGCAATTCGATTCGATTCCGATTCAATTCCATATTGATTATTTTGGATATCAGTTCTAATAAATGGCAAATTTTCTCAAGGGAATCAAATCTCTGAACTAATGCTGTAAACTATGAGAGTCTAGTTGTAGCCTATAGACTTCATTAGCCTAATATGAAGGTAATAATGAACTGTTTTGTAGCTATACAAACACTTAAATTACACTTTTATTTATTTTTATAATAAGAAGATTATATGAAATATAAACATTTAAATGGTGGCTGTCATAAAAACTTGCCAGATTTATTCAAATATGCATTAAATATTGAAGAACATTAAGATTATAATGCATATGTAATATGGTGTATATATTTAGCAAAATGCTCCTCTCTAGAGTTATTTTTTCTAGCTGACTAACGAGTTTATGTGGGTTTTCTGAGGTAAATATGACGATGACATTGATTACAAGCTGTTTAACTGACGTCTTTCCACGGTTGAAACGCTGATTGAGTGAATCAATGTGACATGATCCGGATTTGGATAAGTTGTACTGTATCTTTAACACACTTTCAGATGCTCATTCATGTTTATCTGGTATTATTAAGCCGGAAGAGAGATCAGCGCTGCTGCTTCTCCAGAGCGATCTCACGCCACAGCGACAAAACACTATTTATGTTTTTGAACTTCTAAAGAAAATGGACGTAATTTGAAAATTGAGACTTTGTTTCATATCAATAGTATTAAAGGACAAAGATTATTGCGATTTTTTTGGATGCGCGCAGCCGCTATACAATGATCCATTCATTCAAATGAAACAGGATGACTAATCGATTCTTGAGATTTAAGAATCGATATCGGTTCGTAAAAATAAGAATCGATTAATATCGAGAAATCGATATTTATTACCCAGCCCTAGTATTTCTACATATACAAAGTAATTTTGCGTGGCCTCACCTCAGCACTCACCTCCTCCCCGGTGCGGTATATGAGCAGGTCGAAGGGGATGGCGGCCACCATGTCGATGAGGAACCAGCCTTTGAAGTAATGCACCGCGATGCGCAGCGGGTGGCTGACCACCTCGTCGTTGGCGTTGACGTACGTGGTGCGGAAGTTGATGATGATGTCGATGATGAACATGATGTCCACGATGAGGTCCACCACGTTGAGAGGGCTGCAGGAGTACACGCAGTTCTTGATGGACACGTTGTCCTCCTCGGCCAGGAGGAAGGCTGCGGAGTACGGCGTGAGGATGGCGGTGTAGATCACCAACAGCAGGATCAGCCAATCCCACACCGCTTTAAACGGGCTGTAGTGCAGGACCGTCCACTTGTGGATCCGAGGAGCCTGGAGCTTATACTCCGGAAGAACATCGGCGCCCAGAGACAGAACCTGCAGCGGTCGAACGGGACGTTTCAAAGATGCTTGAGTTTGGAAACACAAGAACATCGACAAAAATATGCTGTGCTTGAATATGAACGGCAGTCTGAGAGATCCACTCACATTTCAGTCAATAATAATTATATCCCTTAAAACTCTTTTTTAATCACCAAAATCACATTTAAAAAAAAATCATTCTTCATGTCTTAAAATATCTTGAGTGTAACTCGACACCCTTGCCTCATCTAGTATGCACGGTTCTATGAATATGCAAATGAGCCCCGCCTCCACTCACTCAGAGATCCACTGGTTGATCTGATTGGTTCCAAGGTGGTTTGTGACGTCAGAAACACCAAAGTGTGTTCTTGAGACTGTCTTTGGTTCACTGCAGTTTTAAGGAGGAAATACTCAGCAATGCTGTCCACTTATCAACGCACACATGGTGTGTGTGTTACAGCGGATTAAACACACCACACACACACATAAACAACATTAAATTACCGCAGTTCACCTTACATTTCATACAGTTTATTGATGAACATGAACTCATTGTGTGATGAAGCCTATAAAATACATTTAGAATTATCATAAAATTCACGATATCAGGGCAAAAACGCCCCTGTATGAGTTTTGTATGACATTTCTATAATTTGCCATGGTTACGCAATATCACACGAGTGCTGTTTTTATCCTGAATAGCACGGGTGCAAATGGGATATTGATTTTATTCAACAGTTCAATAAATACGACGTTAATATTGTGTTATAATATTGTAAAAGCCAGAGCAGAACTGTTGTGCGTCCGTTTTGTTTCTGTACGAATCAATCGGGTGAACCAATGATTCAATGACTCACTTATAAAGAGAGTCATTTACTGAATCCCTGAATGAATCAGCTGTTTGAACAAATCAAATGAATCAATGACTCACTCATTTAGATATTTACCGCCATTAGTTTCACCTATTAAAAAAATCATATTTTGGGATTATTTTGCCCATGATTTACTGTGACCCTCATGTCTTGTGGTGTGTAAATATATCTAAATACAAATCCAGATGCAGCTTATTAAAAAAAGCAAACAAAAATCATGTCCCTTTCAGCCTAAAACTTTATGTGTAATAATGTTGAATCAAATGCAATATTTCTTTCTAAAGCTGCTTTTTGTAATGTCTATTTGATGTTTTTCTCATTTAACACAATAATGATCTTTTCGGGGTAATTTATCAGCCAAATCTGATGTGCGATTAATCAGATTACACATAATTAGATCAACCGGTTTAATCGCTTGACAGCCCTAAACACATTCATTTTCATGTTCAGGTTTCAGAAACCGTATTATAGTGAAATATTGTGATGTGTTGGTGTACGAGAGGAGTGTGATGATGCTGCTTTAGGAGAAACTGAGTGTTTCTCACGTCATGCATATTTAAGTTTAAGCAATTTGACACATTATAATTATAGCACAACAAACAAGCGCCGTCACGCAACTAATGTTGTAAAAGTACTCTCGCTGTCAGGCCGTCTTTGAGACGCTCGGCGCGCTGACAGACGCGGCCTGACTTGTGTTTTCAGTGCGGCACATAAATCAGCGGATTTCCTGAGATATGATTAAATGCACACAGACGGCCGGACGGTCACACAACCGCATTTATGCTGACAGAAAAACACACACACAAATAAACAACAGCAAAAGTCCCCCTGAGTATGTGGTGTGTTTAATGCGCTCTAACACACGTTGATAAGTGGACAGCATTGCTGAGTATTTCCTCCTTCAAACTGCAGTGAACCAAAGACAGTCTCAAAAACGTCACAAACCACCTTGGAACCAATCAGATCAACGTGTGATCGACAACCAGTGGAGCTCATTTGCATATTCATAGAACCGCGCATACTAAATGAGGCAAGGGTGTCGAGTTACACTCAAGATATTTTAAGGAATGAAGAATTTTTTGAAGGAAATCTGTAATTTTGGCGATGAGAGATGAGTTTTAGGGGATATAATAATTGACTACAGGGCGATCGATTTTAAAACTAAAACTTGCATTCAAAGGAAAACATAATTCACAGCCTCTCTCATCAGTCAGTGTCAGGTTTGTAAGAGCGTACAGTAATTTCTGTCATGTTCATGTCACATTTCATCTGGTCTGCAGAGCCACGACTGAGACAAACCCACGTGGACGGAGCGAGAGGTTTGTTTGAGCGCTGAAAGTCCAGCCGAACCTTTAGAGACAGACTCAGCATCACACTCCTCTTCTCAGGTTCAGACATCTCTAGAGTCTGATAAAGGCCTGAGCATCAGAGACTCATGACAGTCGGTGTCAAACGCAGGGCATTCTGGGGGTCAGCAGGTGTTGCACACACACACACGGCTGCGGGCGAGAGCAGGTGCCGCTCTCACACAGTCGTTTACGGCCCGACACACACTCCTGTGTGAGTCATCATGGGAAATGTCCCGCAGCCGCCTGCCTTCACTAACACACGTCAGACGCAGTGACCGACAGACTCTGAAAAGAGCACAAACGCTGTTCGCTCAAGACATCATGACTAACACTACAGTTCACACACACACACACACACACACACACACACACAAAGAATAGAACCAGTTTTGTTTTTGTTTTTTTTGCAGGGACGGATGGATGGATGGATAATATTATTCTTACCTGCAGTTTTCATGATTTTAACCCTTGTGCTGCATTAGATTTTTAACACCGTTGAGTGCATTAAGGACCAAAAATGGCCACATATTAAACATTGCCTAAAATATTATATATTATTATTATTTTCCACTTTTACCAAGTTAAATCTTTTAACCAGCATCAGTCCTCATCATAACTACCAAAAATGTATTCAATTTCAGGATTTTTACCCTTTAATTACCAGTTTTGTTTGCGAAACCATCGATTTGTATGAGAGGAAAAAACACAAAAATTCAATTATTTTCAATAAACTAAATGCAAAGAGAAAACTTTAGATTTGGATTATCACAGTCCCACTTTGCAAAAAATCCCACTTAGTGCGTTAGAGACCAAAAATGGCCACCTATTAAACATTGCCTATTGCCTAAAATAAGGTGCATTTCCACCCATAGGGAATAAATATGTAGTGACGTCATCTGGTGGAATACACTATATAATGCAAATATAATGCTTTTGCTTCAAAAGTCAAAATTTTTGGTCTTTATGGTGCTGAGTGTTACTATTTGATCTACACAGTGTGTGTTATACATATTTTGCAAAATGGGATCACATTTTTTACATGTATCCAAAAAGTCACAATTTTGCCAAATTTCATACCATTTGCATTAAAACAGCCAAAATGGTCAAAGAAATTAAACTGCAAAAGACCAAAAATGTCCCTAATGCAGCATAAGGGTTAATTAGCGAGTTCAAGCCTGAATGAACCCCTCAGAGTCCACAGATATATGAAGGTCTGTTAGAGAGGAGATTGAGGAGCCAGAGCCGGCCCGATAACTCCTCTGGTAAAACACTAAATCAAATATTGAAGAGCCTCAGTTTCTACTGCAAACAATGACAGAAGCTTTGGATCTGTCCACTTAACAAGCTCTCGCTTTCTGGCCACATCTGGGTTCGATCGCATGATAAATAATTCAATCCTACAAGATTCGAGCCAAGAGTCACGAGCGAAACTCAAATATCCCAAATCATCAATACAATATACTGTAAATACAACGAGGAAAGATCAAACGAAGACTGAAGTCATCAGAAAAAAGTCATCAGATTTCATGTAATAATAATAAAAGCGCACCTGAATCAGTCTGCATAAATCAGCTTTATTCTCAAATCTCACGATTACTGCGGCGTCGGGACTCTCGTTCACACAGGTGCATACCGAAAAATGAGAATATCCTGCAAAAGTTCATTTATTACAGTATTTCAACTTAAAAGCTGAAACGAATATATTATATAGACTCATTACCTGCAAAGTGAGATATTTTAAGCCTTTATTTGTTATAATTTTGATGGCTTACAGCTTATGAAAACCACAAATAAAAAATGTGAATATTGTGAAAAGGTTTTCATAAGCTGTAAGCCATAATTAAACAAAAATTAAACTTTTGCATGATATTCTCATTTTCAGAGTGTCACGTGTACTATTATATTTTTTATTTGAGTCCGTGTTCATTTGTGTTATTAGATATACTGCAGGCGTTATTGATTCCCAGCGTCTGAATGAAGGTCTGGCTCGGGTCTGCTGAGGATTAGAAAGCTTAAGTTCAGGACAGCGAGAGTTCAGCGTTTCAGGGCCTCGGCTCCTCTAATCTGCTTTTCATCCGCTGATGAGAAACTTTAATAACGCACGAAGTGGAGAAGAATCCACGAGACGTCTTTAAAACACGAAGCTTCATTTCACAGCTCTGGGAAATACTGGATCCTTTTCATGACATAAATACAGTATTGGGTTCAAATCTGACACATTAATATGAACGGACAAAAATGCACACACAACACTATGGGTATGTCATGAACTGAATCCTGAGATGTGTCTGTTTAGAGATGACGTCGTCACATGATCACATCAGATTACCTCATCTATCCAGTCAACCCTGAGTGCAGATACTGATGATCTCCTTTGGACATGTAGACGTTCATGCACTTACTAGCAGGAAGAGCAGATATAGACACCACTGAGATGGGTTCAAGACTCAAACTTGTTTTTAATGTTGATCATTATTATACGAGCAGGAATGCCATGTTTCCTAAATATCCCCAAGATTGCACATGTGATTTTTATATACAACACTTCAACAAAAATGGTCCTTTTAAGTGATGTGCAGTTTAAACAGTTTTGTCAGTATTGTTTGCTCTATTTTGCAATGAAATAATAGTTTAAAAGTGAACGAATCGTGTGAGTCAATGATTCGTTCATAAATACAGCCACTCTTCTCAGTACTGAATGAATGAATGAACAAAAAAAATTAATCAATGAATGAATGAACAGACGAATTAATGAATGAACAAATGAATGAATGAACGAACGAACGAACGAATC